AAGACAAACCAGCAAGCCACATAAGGCAGGCACGAGCCTCGTGTGTCAGAGAGCAGAAGATAGGGCACATGGCGCCCCAGCACTCCGGGCCAGGTGCAGGGGCTGAGAGTGGAGAAATCAGGTCCACAGAGGCAGGCGAGTGTACACACAGCACACAGGGACTTCACGGCATGGAAAGGGACGTGACTTTCTAGGGCAGTGACAGATCTTTTTGGCCAGTACCATGAGTGCGCACTTTTTTTTTTTTTTTCAATTTTGAGACAGAGTCTTCACTCTGTGTGCGCCAGGGCTAGCGTGAGTGCTGTTGGCGTCAGCTCGCTCACAGCAACTCAGACTCTGGGGCCTCAATCCCGACGCTCAGCGTCCGCCCGAGTAGCTGGACTTACAGCATTGGCGCCTCCATGCCCGGCTATTTTTATATTTATATTAGTTTGGCCCAATTGATTTCTTTTTAGTTTATAGTAGAGACAGGGTCTGGCTTGCTTGCTCAGGCTGGTTTCAAACTCCTTGACCTCGAGCTGATCCTCCGCCTGGGACCTCCCAGAGTGCTAGGTATGACAGGCGTGAAGGCACTGTGCCCAGCCCATGAGATGCCATTTTTAAAAGATCGCCAGTGAGTGTCGAGGATAGATATAGGAACGCAGCACGGGAAGAGGAGGTCAGTTAAGAGGCTTTCTCCAGATTATAGACAATGGGTGATGGAGGCTTGGGTGAGCCGGAGAAGGAAATGGATACATCTGCAACATGCTCAGAGGGACAGCCCACGAGACCTGCTGACAGACTGGACTGAAGAGGAGTACAGGGACACGAGGAATGACAGACAACCCCTCAGATTCTGGCCCAAGCACCCAGATAGAAATGCTGCCATTAACTGGAGTGGGAAAGAAGATAACAGTTCTGAAAACTATGATGAAAAGAGGTTACCTCTTTCCCAGTGAAAGCAACATCTTACTTAAGATCCTTACAGGCCGGCGCGGTGGCTCACGCTCTGTGATCCCTAGGCACTCTGGGAGGCCAAGATGGGGAGGATCGCTCGAGGTCAGGAGTTCAAAACCAGCCCTGAGCAAGAGCGAGACCCTCCGTACCTACTATAAATAGAAAGAAACTAATTGACCAACTAAAAAATATATAGAAAAAACCAGCCGGGCATGGAGGCGCGCATGCCTGTAATCTAGATACTCGGGAGGCTGAGGCAGGAGGATTGCTTGAGCCCAGAGGTTGGAGGTTGCCATAAGGCGAGGCTGACGGCCAACGGCACTCACTGTAGCCTGGGCAACAGAGTGAGACTCCTGTCTCAAAAAAAAAAAAAAAAGAAAAAAGATGTCTTCTTTAAAATAATGCCTCTGACAAGGAGTTTCCTCTTTCTTTAGTGTAATTTTATGAAAATCAAAATGCTATCACAAAATGGCTCAACTCCACACGTATTCTCACCCTACTTACAATGCTGTTTGCTCTCGCGACAAAAAGGAACAAGGGCCACGGCGGGGATCAAAGAAGATCCGCAAGAGCTGTCCACTACCCCCACATCGATGGCCACCGGGCCGGGCAACCAGTGGGCGTCTGTTTGTCCGCACTGAACTCCACACAGTGAAAGCTTCAGAGACCTCCCTCCCGGTCGGCTGCAGAGAGCGGAGCACAGATCTGAGGGTGAGGGACGCCATAGGGGGAAGAGGTCTCCTCAAACCAGTTTGCCTTTCCCTTAGCAAAAGCTGCAGTTCCCGAGATGTGGTCTCTTGGCATTTATGTTTATTTAGGCGCTTCAGTTCACACTCCCTTTCAAGTTTGAGGGCTGAAAGATAGAACACACCAAAAAAAAAAAAAAATGAGAGCACATACCCACACAGTGCTCTCGGCAGCTTCATTCATGAGCACTCAGAACTGAACCCAACCCAAATATTTATCAATAAGTGCACGGATAAACAAAGTGGGTATTTCCACACAGTAAAAAACCACTCAGCAATAAAAGGAAACACACATGCAACGATATGGATGAGTCTCAAAATAATTATGCTGAGTAAAAAATCAAAGCAAAAAAAAAAAAATATCAGATGCTGAATGATTCCATTTCTACAAAATTCTCACCAATGCAAACTAATGGACAGTGCTAGAAAGCAGGTAAGTCAGTGGTCACCTAGAGGCTAGGGGTGGGGGAAGAGCAGTGAGAAAGGATGGATTACAAGGGGCACAAAAAAACTGGGGCGATGGTCGCATGTGTTAGCCTGATTGTGAGAATGGTCCCACAGGCACTGACATATGTCAAAACTCATCCAGTTGTGTGCCTTAAACAGGTACAGTTTATGTCAGCAGTTATACCTCGATAAAGCTAAAACAATACGTGTCAAAGAGTATATAAGAAGGGAACAGGCCGGGCGAGGTGGCTCACGCCTGTCATCCCAGCACTCTGGGAGGCCGAGGCGGGCAGACCAGCCTGAGCAAGAGCGAGACCCCGTCTCTACTAAAAATAGAAAGAAATTAATTGGCCAACTAAAAATATATAGAAAAAATGGGCCGGGCATGGTGACGCATGCCTGTAGTCCCAGCTACTCTGGAGGCTGAGGCAGGAGGATCGCTTGAGCCCAGGAGTTGGAGGTTGCTGTGAGCGAGGCTGACGCCACGGCACTCACTCTAGCCTGGGCAACAGAGTGAGACTCTGTCTCAAAAAAATAAACAAACAAATAAATAAATAAATAAACGAGATGACAGGGCTACAGAGATAGGACGCCTGGAGATGCACATGCAGATTTAAACGTTTCTCTGACAATAAGCACATGGTACACACAGTTTAGAATATATGAAAGCAGAACTTAAGGAACTTACATTCTGCTGAAATGAGCAGGCCATCCTTCATGGTTTTATATCTTGTGAGCTTTAGAGGATTCCCAAATTTAATCTCTCCCAAGAAAGGCAACTTCATGTTGGCTAGGTTCGTGTAGAAAGTCTTTGTAAGTAGTGCAAGATCCCATGCTTCCTGTCTGGGGGACGAATCCATTGATTCATTCAATAAATATATGAATTTGGGGAAAAACAAAAAATATATATATGTAAAAACATTTATTAAGCACATACTGCATGATATACAGAACATCTTTTAATTCTCAGTTCCACTGGCCATTAGACATTTTGGTTCACGAGGAGGTATTCAGGATTTTCCCCAGTTGTAACTCCAACTAGGAGAAGCTATATACTAACTAATGTAGAGATATATTGAAAAAATGGCCAGAAATTATGCCAAGAACTTTTTTTCTTTTTTTGTGAGACAGAGTTTCACTTTTGTTGCCCTGGCTAGAGTGAGTGCCGTGGCATCAGCCTAGCTCACAGCAACCTCCAACTCCTGGGCTCAAAACGCGTCCTCTGTTCAGCCTCCCAAGTAGCTGGGACTACAGGCATGCGCCACCGTGCCCAGCTAATTTTGTATATATATTTTAGTTGGTCAATTAATTTCTTCTATTTATAGTAGAGAGCCGGGTGCTCGCTCAGGCTGGTTCGAACTCCTGACCTTGAGCGATCCTCCGCTCGGCCTCCCAGAGTGCTAGGATTACAGGCGTGAGCCACCGCGCCCGGCCCCAAGAACTTTTTTTCACAGCACAGCCCCCCCTGGAGTCAACCCAATCTTTCCATGTAACAGAATATAGATAAGAACTGTAAACTCAAAAGTCTTTCATGGCTCATCAAAAACATGGTCCCGGCCAGGCGCGGTGGCTCACACCTGTAATCCCAGCACTCTGGGAGGCTGAGGCAGGAGGATCGCTCAAGGTCAGGAGTTTGAAACCAGGCTGAGCAAGAGCGAGACCCAGTCTCTACTAAAAAAATAGAAAGAAATTAGCTGGCCAACTAAAAATATACAGAAAAAATTAGCCGGGCATGGTGGTGCATGCCTGTAGTCCCAGCTATCGGGAGGAGGCTGAGGCAGGAGGATCGCTTGAGGCCAGGAGTGGAGGTTGCTGTGAGCAAGCTGACACCACGGCACTCTAGCTGGGAAACACAGTGAGACTCTGTCTTAAAAATAATAATAATAATAATAATAATAATAATAATTCTGCATAACCAAAACCACCAGAATCCTGTGCTATAAATCGTTCTCCAGAAATAGGATCTCTTTCCATCAAATTATGTTTACAATAGTAGCTACTATAATGGTATTGCCTAGAGTTCCAGGTCTAAACCATACCGAACCGACAACACTAAAACACAATACAACAATGCGTCTTCTCTGATTTTCCTATAGCTCTGGTTTGAGTAACTCTGTAGGAACTTCCCTTGCTTCTCAGAACACTGTCAAAAGAAATTCAGCTGACTCTAATGTATAAGATGTCATAATTCTGAAGAGGGATCAACCAAAAAAAGCTCCAAATAATTGTAACTTATTATTAGTAAACAATATTTGCCGCGCACAGATGCGACAAGAGTATGGCTAGCTACCAGTGCGGAAACCACGGACTGGACTCACTTTTCTGTTTGTATGCAGGCAAGGGTCGGCACGCGAACGGTTACACAGACATAGACGTCAGCGTCAGTCATCCACGCGTAGCGAGTCGTCCACAATGACTTACAAAAGTAAGTCACCCAAGCCAGCTGCGCGAGCACAGGCGAGGCGCCGAACCCCTCCCTCCACAGAGGAACTCACGTGATTGCCGACAACGTCGCGACGCCTGATGCTAACATGCTAATCGCCGTCCCAAAGCATTCGTCCGGCGGTTGCACAGAGCAAGACGAGTGCGTGACTAAATGCACAGTTGCTCGTGCCCGTTAGGAAACGCACTCCCCACACAGGCATCCGTTACGCTAGGTCGATTATCTACGGGGCCAGTCTTTATCGAGTATCGGGTACAGCAGTGCCTAGATCTGGCCAGAAAGACTATGCTTTAATGTAAAATCGAGAAGAGACAGGCCAGGGCGTGGTGGCTCACGCCTCGTAATCCCAGCATCTGGGGGCCCTCAATACGGGCGGCCGTCCATGTGATCGTCGAGGTCAGGAGTTCAAACAGCCTGAAAGACGAGACCCGTCTCTACTAAAAAAGAAAGAAAAATTAACTTGCAACTATATTAGATAGGGAAAAATGAGCCGGGCATGGTGTCGCATGCCTGTGGGTTTGACGGCGTCGTCTCAGCGGCAGCTCCTTACTGCCTGGCCAACCCCCCCCATTCCGAGTAGCCTGGCATAGTCCCAGTACTGGAGGCTGAGGCAGGAGACTGCTTGAGTCATGGAAGTCTTAAGGTGCTGTGAGCGAGGCTGACGCACAGAGCACTCACTCTAGCCGGCAGCAGAGCGGAGACTCTGTCTCAAAAAAAAAAAATCACTTCCTGACATCTGAAGATACCTCATATACTCCAGTATCTCATGGGGAGCATGGGGCGTCTGACACTTTTACTTTCACAAAGACACTGCCCCCCCAGGCAATGCTAACGGCAATAAAAATACTTACACCTCGTAACAACTGCCCCGCAAAATGGTTTTCACCGTATTCTTTCTTGGCAGGCCATATGCCATGGTGAGTTGCCACAGTCCAATCTCCTCACATAGGTGCCTGGTGTAATGTCACAGCTCCTCGGTTCACTTGGCCTGAAAGGATTGCAACACGTCTCACTCATGGCTTCCACCAGAATATTTTCTTAGCCAAATAATATAAAAAGATGCAGGAAAAAAAAATTCTGAATGTCAGAAAGTCCCTAACAAATATGAGTTGAACTTGAACCCCAAATGTAAAACTGTATTCTTTCTTGTTTTCCATGACCTCATATTATCATTTTTTGCCACCATAGAAGGAGAAAATGCCCAGTTAAGGTTTGTCAGCCTAGACTGGGCTCGGTGGCTCACGCCTGTGATCCTAGCACTCTGGGAGGCCGCCGCTGGAGGATCGCTCAAGGTCAGGAGTTCGAAACCAGCCTGAGCAAGAGCAGGACCCCGTCTCTACTATGAATAGAAAGAAACTAATTGGCCAACTAAAAATATACAGAAAAAATTAGCCGGGCATGGTGGCGCATGCCTGTAGTCCCAGCTACTCGGGAGGCTGAGGCAGAAGAGCCTCCCGCCTCGGCCTCCCCAGAGTGCCAGGATACAGCTGAGCCCAC